CTCTCTTAGGTCTTGGAGGCCGCGCGATTGACTGTCGCGTGAGAGTGCCTGCGCGGGCTCGATTTTCGATTGGTTTGGCGCGAATGGAAGGGCCCGGGGCGTCGTCAAAGTCGCGGCCCGCGAGAGGCTCGACGACGCAGGTATCTCGAAAGGAGAGGCCCATTGGGTGAAAGGCAACCGCGTCGCGGACCCGGCGTCCAATCGAGGAGCTGTAGGACATCCTCGCCCAGGCCCAAACCCAAACGCGAGGGCGTTCCTTGTGACGTCAAACCCCCGCCATGCTGTGTTTCAGCTGGCCAATCAGATCCTCTCGAAGTCGCCAAGTTGCGCCCTCCCAGGCGCGAAGTGCGCCAGGTCCCCCCGCCCCCCCGAGAGTCCAGCGCATCCTCGGGTCTCGCGCGCGCCAGGCCAGGCTCGGATCCGACGGCGTACCTGGCTGAAGTATACGCCGTCCTGTTTGCGATGCAGCGCGCGGACCCAGCTGGGCAGGGCGCGCGGCCTCTGGTGATGACGAGGCAGTGGTTCGTGGCCTGGGTCGGCTCCGCAACTCCGCGGTCGCCTGCGACGCCAGCGAGGTCGCCCCCCTTTCGGCGCCGGATCGCATAGGTCGCCGTCTCATGCGTGGACAAGTGGAACGCCGCACGGGCACTGGGCCACACCGACGACCTGTAGCTTGCGCAGGCCAATCGCCCGTTGCGGCGCAATCGCCTGCATACGCGCTGGCCCGAAGAGGCAAAAGTAGCTGAAAGTTTGCGTCCTGTGGCCTGCAAAGACGCCTGCAAACGTAGCTGCAGGCAAACGCGAACGCGGACGTTGAAGCTGCTGCAGCACGCGGCCTGGCCGCGCACGCGCTTCCACAGGGCGCAGTTTTCGCGCTGGGGGACATCGTCAAGCACGTCGAGATCGTCATTCAGCACGTGGCGGCGACCATGGCCTAGGAAGTAGGTGGAGGCTGATCGCCACGCCTCCGCCCTTCCCGCCCCTTCCGCAGCTGTGCGACGCGCGCCAGGTCGCATGGACGTGAGCGGCGAGCCGGGTGCTCCCCCCGCCGGCAATCAATCTGCATCGGCGCGGACAAGGCAGCGGTGGCCCTGAAACCTTGGCTGGCTCGGGTTGACTGGCTGGCCTGGTCGCAAGGGCTTAGCATCCGCCAGTGGCACGTCGCCGCCCCTCCTCGGGGAATGCTGTTCGACACCACCGACCTCCCCCTCCTCCTCCTCCTCCTCCTCCTCCTCCTCCTCCTCCTTCGTTTCTTCGTGTTCTCCTTTTCCACCTCTTTTTCCCCCTCCTCCTCCTCCTCCTCCTCCTCCTCCTCCTTATCCTCCTTCTCATGCTCCTCCTCTTCCTCCTCCTCCATCCTCAGCTACGTTATTCCTCGATCTCTTTCCATCCTCGTTGGATGGACAGATCCGATCCCACGTTGGTCCTTGTCCTTCTCCTCTGATGTGTGGTCCTCATGAGGTGTTTCCTCCGGTATATGGCTGAGTAGGCAGGGTGGCAGGTACCACGCGCCAGGGCTCTGAGTTACCAGGGTCAACGCCGATCAGCACATTTCGCAGTCAAAATTGTGACTAGTTCTGCGATGCCGCACCACCTGGGAGCTTTCCGATCTCGGAGGCTCTCTTCCGTTGCCCCTCCCGCTCCTCACCCCCCCCCGCCCTCTCCCTTTCCATTGATGCATCGTCCATCGTCCTTCTCTTGCCCCTTCAACTTTTACCCATCGTCCCCTTCTCGAACACAGCCCGACCCCCCTCCTCCCGACCCCCCCTCCCCCCACCAAAAAAAAACAGCACTCAACTATTCTTACCGGAGAGGGCGGATGTCGAGGAATGGCATGACGACTAGGACGATGGCCACGGGAGAGGACGGGGATTCGAGGGAGAATGACGGTTCGTTTTAGATTGTCTATAGTTAGGGTGTGCGTTTGCTTCCAGCTGCTGTTTTCACTGGTTGGGGTAGTACAGATTCGGTTGGAACAGTTCGTCAGCGTTTGTCTTGCTACTTTCCGTCGGGCTTTCACAGGACAGCCAGGTGCGAACGTTGAAGAATTCAACAATCAATTGTGGGCGCGCCATCGAATCTTGCTATCCAAGTGTCCGCTGAAGGAATGCGGTCATTCCATGGTGTTTCCCCACAGGATGTTTTCACGAATGATTTCGTCTTGGTATTGCCGTCCCGTGGCTGCACGTCGCCGCTCTTCGCCGCTCTTCGCCGCCTCGCATAGTGGTTGGGTGTTCTTGGATTGTTCCCAGTGGCCACTCGTGGCCGCCTCTCGTGTTGGCTGGGTTTCTGGGGCGTCACACACTGGCCGCCTTGTCGCCGCCTTGTCACCGCCTCTTTCGCTGGCTGGGTTTTCACCTGTCGGCCTCCCGCCGCTGCCTCCTGGTCGCCTCGCGCCTCGTACGATGGCTGGTTTCTCCAGGCCTTCGTCCGATGGCCGCACGTCGCCGTGCCCTGGCAGCTTCGCGTGTTTGCTAGGTTTCCCGGTCGGAAGTTAGGATTTCCGCACGGGGATCGTCGCCGCATTGCACGTTGGCCGCCCGTTGCCACAGAGTCGCGGATTACCCCCACCACGTAGGATCTCCTTTCTCCGGAAACTAGACGACACCATTTTTCCGAGACCGGGGGTTCGCCCTTCTTTTTTTCAGGTCATTGCAACGTTCGGAACCATGCCATCCCAGCCAGGGCGGTGTCGACCCACCTTCAATTACTTATTGCAGAAAACACCACGGAGTCTACGCCCATGTCGAAATCATACTAAGAACGCCTGTCCTGCCAGCACTTCAACATACAAAACACTTGAACGGCCCTGCTTGTTCAATGACAATGTTAGCCAACATTGATGTTCTTGCAGTGTATGTTGCGCAATCTAGGTGGTGCAGCCAATGTGGTGCAGTCTACGTGGTGCAATACATGTGGTGTACTATGCGGCATAAGCAATACAACTCAACGTAAAGCAAGGCAACGCAATGCAGCGCAATGCACGGCAATGCAACGCAACACAAAGCAACGCAAAGCAACGACAGGCAAGTCAAACTAGTGCAAAGAAATGAAGAGCAATGCAAATCACAAAGCCATGCAGTGCACTGCAAAGCAATGCAAGGCTACGCAGAACAATGCAAAGCAAAGCAAACCAATGTCAAGCAAGGCCAAGCAATGCAAAGCAATGCAAATCAATGCGACGTAGTGCAAAGCCGTGCGCCGCAATGCAACGCAGTGCAAGGCAATGCAACGCAATGCAAAGCAATGCAAGGTGGCGCAAAGCAATGCAACGCAATGCGAGGAAACTCAAAGCCATGCAAAGCAATACAGCGCAATGCAATGCATCGCGATGCAAAGCAACGCGGCGACGGGCGGCGACGAGAGGGCGGGACCGCCACTGGGGCTCAGCGGCGACGGCGGCGACGGGCGGAGACGAGCGGGCCAGGCAGGCACTAGGGCCCAGTTGCCTTCGAAGACAAGTAAGAACTTACTGCTGCTGCTTTTCTGCATTGTTTTGGAAATCTTGCTGCTTTTCTGCCCGCGCGCACTCGCTGAAGTCATAGGACAGGCGTCTGGTTTTAGCAGTCTCGTCCAGACCCGCATTCCCAACTCACCATTCTGTACGCGTGCACTTCCCGATCACCCGCATCAGCGCAATAGTTTCACCGCCTTCATCGTCATCGTGAATCGCCGCCACTGCCGCCATAATGAACACCATGCAATTCATCACCGACATATGGAGATCATCACTGCCAGTGTCGTCACCATCATCGGCGCCATCATTGGCCTTGCCGTTGTCATCGTCATCATCGCCACCACCATCGTTTGTTCCCAGCAGCCATGCCGCCATTGCCGGTGCCATCGTTCTATTGCGGCTGGCCGAGTCACCGACCCGCGTTGAAGCGCCCGCGCAGCAGCGCGGCCTCCGAGACGCGCTTGGAAGTTCCCATCGGTCTGCGCCATCGCGGCCGCATCCGCTGTGACAAACCAGTTGTTTGATCTGCGCGTGAACGTGCGCGCGCCAATTCGGCCACAGAGATGCGCTAGCCAATCGGTGATCGTCATCGTGGCTGGACGGGCTTGGCGGAACGAGTTGCGGCTGGAGGGTGGGATGTTTGCGCGAGCATTGGAGTTGATGACAGCGGTATCTTCAGGTGAATTGCGCCCCGCAGGTTCCCCCTTACAGAAAATTAGAATGCATCCCCATCCAGAGGCTGAGGTTAACAGTACCACTCGGCGTATTGTCCTTCTCATTTTCATGATTCACAATCGTTGGTCCTCCGTGGGGAATCACACCACCCACCACACCTGTGTCGACTCATTCCAAGCAGACGCGTTTTGTAAGAACCTCAAACAATACCATGCGAACCACGCCCGCGCCCCACGCGGGCATGTCCAACTCAGTACACGACCATTGGCCCCCACGCGGTCCAATTTCGTTTCATTCAAACACCTAACAACGACACCCTGATTTTCCAATCCGTGCCGAACCACTAGTTGTCACTCGCGTTGTTAAAAATCATTGGGGCACATTGCTCAGCCCTGTCAAATGCGACGATGCTGGCCACACGCGCGCCCTCCCGCTGCCACACTCACGGCCGAGTTGGTTTCGCGAACAAGTTGCGGATGTGTCGGTAGTATATATGTTCGAGCATTCGATTGTGCCAGCGCATGGGTCACGTAGTTGATTACCCCCATACGTCGCGCTTTAGTCATCAGGCTTCATAGCTTGCACCATGTTGCGCAATGAAGGTGCATCGCTTAGTCTCAAGCAGATTGCACCAAATCTGGTTTACACGAAGAGTACACTGACCAGTCGTTTAATGTTCACGCTGTCGCAAACAGCTTGATCTTAACTTTAGATGATCCCCAATACATGCTCCACCAGGGGTGATGGACAGTGATTGACCTAGACTTCCGACCTTATGTATTGTTTCTCTCTTGCATGGCCCTGGCATTTTCATTGCCCATTGTTGTCCCTTCCTATGCCGCCGATTGAGCCGCGATTCCCGTCCAAGGCTGGCACCAAGGTGATGCTCGTACAGCGACCAGATGATGAACCTGGAGTTCTCGAAGAGGCATTACTTTGCTTGTTGCGCCATATCTGGTTGTAGTGGCATCTCTCGGCAAAGGTATGACATCGGGCGTGGCCATGTTGCAGCCAATCCTCATATGCTCATTGCTCTTCTCGAACGGTCTCAATGCCACGTAACGGTTGCCAGTCTGGGGGACATGCTCACTTTTCTGACGTAGGGGCAGCGCGTTCAATCACACGGCGTTCAGATTGTTGCCAACATGGGGTGCAGGATCTTCTAGCAGCGGAAGCGTGGGCCGTCGAGTCAAATTCGGCAGGAGTCGGAGGCCGAAATTTTGCGGCCATCGAAAGGCAGGCGACGCGGCGCTTTGGCGCTTTCTGACGCCGTGTCCAAACTTGGCTTAGCGCTCCTGACGGCCTGACGTGCCCCAACTACTGCCCTGACACGCCTGCCTCCCAGCGCTGGCGCTTGGGTCAAGTCTTACAGGGCGGGGCGAGCCCAGGACATGGCGCGGCCGCGCCGCCTCGGCTCTGGAGCCGCTTGGCGCATGCGTCGCGAATGGAACCGCTGTCTCCCTCGCGGTGGCGGCGGCCTTGCTTGGTTGCCGCCGGCGGCTGCGCCGGCTGCGCCGGCGGCGGCGCCGCCAGGTGGGTTGCCGCTGGCGGCTGCGCTCTCCTTCTCGCCTCGGTGGGCCGCCCCGGGCAGAACCCTTTCCTGCTGGTGCTGCACGAGCCTCCGCGGGCGCGCGAGGCGACGCAGTCTGGCGGCGGCGAGGCGCCGCAGCAGGCCGAGTCGCCACCGCCGCCAACCATAGCAGCACCGGCGGCGACCGCTGCCGCAGGCGGCTCCGCCACCGTCGCCCCAGAAGAGGACGGCCGCCAGTGTCTTCACCAAGCCTGTCTCCAGCCATCCCTGCCCTGCCCCTCCTCTAGCCTGCCCGTCGCCGCCCCGAGGGCGGGGCGGAGTGTAATGGGGCAGGGGAGAGAAGGCAGGTTGCTCCCTCTCCACCCCTCCTCCAACGTCCCGCCCATTCATAGAAGAAAACATGGGGCCGTCCAGAAAGGTCTTCGCCTTCGAGGACTGAAGGAGTTGCCACCTCTTCCTCGGCGGAAGGCGGAGGAAGGACGGCGGAAAGCGGCGCCGGTAACATGAGGCTACCCCTGCAGGCGGAAGCCGGCGGAGGTAAAACATGTCCCCCAAAGAGGTGGCAACATTTGTGGGTGGGTTCAGGGTATTTATCCAGAACCCGCTATATAATCGTTCGGAGGTCCGCGCAGATCTCTTCGATGGTGTCGCCGATTCGGGCCCGATATCCCCCTCCAAGCCGCCCCTCCCATGTATCGTTGCCAAAAGTATCATGGTTTCCAGATGGCGTACATATAATGTCTTGCTGCTGCTAGGATGGATTTGCTGTAGCACTCAGGTGGTGTCTCCGATGTTGTTCCGATAAGATGCATGTTGTGTTCCGACAGTATCCTGATGTTGTTTATTTGAGTTTCTGTTGTGTTCCTGTGCATGTTTTGTGGTGCTGCGATGGCGGTCCGTCGAATTAGATGTTGCAGGTTGAACCAACAAAAACGAGGTTGAATGGACTTGAACCGAAGTGAAGCGGCGCCCGCTGCAGTCGAACCAGAAGACAGCTCGCCGCATGGGTCCCGTTGCTGGCTAGCCTGAACGGCAAGCATAGATTCGGGCGCAGTCCCATACAAAGTGTGACAGCTAAGGACTGGGCCTCGTCGGTCTCTCCTCTTCGACTGTGGCCTCGTCGTCGGCGTCTTTGTTGTCGTCCTCCTCCTTCGCCTCCATCCCCTACGTTTCTCTCTCTCTCTCTCTCTCTTCCCTTCCCAGTCCCCCCTCCCCGTCCTCCCTCTCCCCAGGGCACCCACCCCACCTTCACCAAAGCTCGTGCTGCCGTCCTATCTTCCCCCGCCTCGTCCATCCTCTGCCCACCGCCGCCCCCTCCGTATCCTCCGCCGCTTTCTTCCCTGCAGTGTGCGTGTCTACCACCAACCCAGTCGCCTTCCTGCCAGGTGTTGCCCCGTAGGTAGCGTCACAGACCATAGGTTGTGCCATGGGTTGCGCCATCAATGGGCTCCGCCACCCAGGGACTGTGCCATGGATGGGTTACGCAGTAGGTTTTGCCATCTTAGGGCTTGCGCCGCTCATGGGCTCATGGGCTGCGGGGTTGCGGCATAGGTTTCCCCAGAGGTTGCGTTGTGGGTTAAATCATTGGTTGCGGCCTGGGTTGCGCCGTCCATGCGTTGCACAATGGGTTGCAACATAGTCTGCGCTCTCGGCCGCCGAACAGGGAGCGGCATTCTATTTCTGGCCCTATGGATTGCACCCTCGGCTGCCGATGATGACATTACCTGCTACACGTATTGGTTTCTCCACGGGTTGCGCCCTCGGTTGCCGAACATAAAACGGCTTGGGAATGGCTAAGCTAGATATTGCCCGCTCAATTGCCGAGCAAATACTGCTTGTTACTGGCTGAGCCATATGATCACCCTCGGCTGCCGAAAATAGATCGGCCTGCTAGTTGCATAGGCTTCACCTTCTGCTGCCGGGAAAGGATCGACCTGCTAGTTGCATAGGTTTCACTCTCTGCTGCCGAGCACAGCACACATCGGCTGCTAGTTGCGCCACAGATTGCGCCCTCGGTTGCCGAAAACCAAAAGAAAGGTCTGCTACTGGTTCCGCCAGAGGGTTTTCCCTCAACTGCCGACACAAAACAATATGCCACCGGTTGCGCCATGGGTTGCGCCCTCGGCTGCCGAACAAATAGTGGTTTGCTTGTTTCCCCAGAGGTTGTGCCATCGGTTGTCGAATAGCTATTGGTCTGCTAGTTGCGCTATTGGTTGCGCGCTCGACCGCTGAGGATAATACGTCATGCAAACAGGTGCGGCAAGTCAGCCAGCCAAGGAACAGTACGAAAAAATGTGTTTGGGCTACGCCCGACTGGAGTTGTCACGAGTGAAGTTTCAATGAGTTGAAGCGAATTGAACTGGAATTGAAAACAGGTTGTTTGACCTTATTCGGACTGGTGCAAGACGCATCCATCCACATCATGTGTCCGGATCGGACGAAATCTTGCATTTTGCGATTCGGATTGTTTCTCAACATGTGTTGAGACACGAATGCGCGCGAACATGTAGAAGGACATCCTGTTTGAGAGCTACCTCGCTCTCGCATGAAGATAGCCGCACTGTGCCAAGTGTACACACGGCTGCACCACGTATACGAAGCACCCCGCAGTTGCGGATAAGAGTGAGGGGGCGGCGAGGACGTCGGCAGTTTGCGAGGCTCTGAAGAAGCCCGCCGCAGGCGCCGTGCAGGCGCTTTTTTTTCGCGAAAGCAATGTGGGTGGGTCGCAGGGTGGGTCGCGGGTGGGTCGCGGGTGGGTTGCGGGCGGGTCGCGGGTTGGTCGCGGGTGGGTCGCGGGTGGGTCGCGGGGTCGCGGGTGGGTCGCGAGGCGGGTCGCGGAGTGGGTCGCGGGGTGGGTCGCGGGGTGGATCACGGGTGGGCGCGGGGTGGGTCGCGGGTGGGTCGCGGAATGGGACGCGGGGTGGGTCGCGGGTGGGTCGCGGGTGGGTCGCGGGTGTGTCGTTGTGTGGGTCGTGGGTGGGTCGCGGGCCGTGTCGCGGGGGGGACGATGCCAAACAACAAACAACAAACAGCATTATCAACGACAGCAACAACAACAAGAATTGCATTGCGGAGTTCTTTTTTCAGCCACGCACCCAGGGACAGTGAATGACCGTTCGGCCCCCTCAAACTGATATGCAATAGTCGAAGCCAAGTCGTACCAACAGCGGGAACCCAACATGGTCAGCACAATTCCTTCGTTCATGGGCATATACGTGGCGTTTCCTGATCCATCCGTTCATGGGCATGTACATGACGTTTCCCTTGTTTTTGATGCCTGGGCAGACAGGACACACTCCACCTGCCGAAGATCTACGTGTACGACCTCAATGCCTCGTTCAGGCACGGGGGCAAAGAGGATTGCTCCTCGCTGGAGTGCGCATTCGGCGGCCCCCCGGAGCAGTTCGCAGGCCTTGACCTGTGGCACTCGAGCCAGTTTCTTTGGCCTTGGCAGGTCTATTCAACGTGCCCTACGGGTCGTCGCCGCCTGCCGGACATGCATGGCCTGGGCTACCCGGCTACCCCTCAGTTATGCCGGGGGTGACATGAAACCAACGCTACAAAAGGCTGAGGGCAGAGGGTGCCTCTCGAAGATGATCGGTCTTAGTGAGAAGGGGGGGCCATGAGACTTGTTTCGAGCCCGACGATATCCTGGATTGTCGGGTCCGCCCGCCCACCCCCCACCCCTTGGTCGGACTGGGCTGGGACGAGGATAAAGTCCGTTCCAGAGCGTTCCAGACCGCTCTCAGAGCTTTCCAGAACGCTGTGAGAAGGCCGCGGCGCCCGAGACATCCTCCAGACCCGATGTGACGCTTGTTTTGGCTTCGTCTTACTTAGGATATCTTGACCTTGTCGGTTGCGCAGGTCCGAAGGTTGTGCGCAGGATCGGTGCGCGCGGGCGCGCGTGGAGCTGCCTAGAACGAACAGGTCAGGTCATCGGGCGGCGCCCCGTCCCACCAGATAACCTGGGCTGCCGCCGAAAAACTAAAAGAACAATCGCATCATTGACACGACAACGACAAGAACAACGACGACTTGTATGGACTGCTGTTAACACTTCATTAGATCAGAGAAACAGGGTGTTCTGGGCCTGCCCGAGCGGCTGCCCAAAATATTTGCCGCCTGGCATGCGCGTATGACCGTTTACGCGCGTCGTAAGGCTATACTGGGGGGCGGCATCGTCGATCGCCGTCTCCATCCGCAGCCTTTTTCCGGCTTCAGGGGCCTCGGGCGAGCCGACACCTCATCGCTTTGGTGCTCGGCCCGAGGACTCAGCTGGCCCCCCCAAAACCTGAGGGTCTGCGGGGGGCCGACTCTGGCCACTTCGTCCCAGGCCTGGTCCGCCCTATGTCTGGGCTGCCGCCATTCGCCCCTGGCGCTCCCGCGGCTGGGGTCCCGGCGGCGTTGCCTGGTGGTGCGGGGCGTGCAGGCGCACGCAGTTGGCGGCCACGATGCTGGGACGGTGGCCGACTGATGGCGGAGGCTCCGAACGACGTGGATCCGATCGGCGACCTCTACACGCCGACGGGCGAGGACGGGCCCCTGGAGGAGGCGGCGCTCGCGGCGTTCGCCGCCGAGGAGGGGCCGCCGGAGCTGATCGAGGGCGAGGCCTACCTCTTCACGGGCTACGACGCGGAGGGCTCGGTTCAGTCGAGCTTCGCTTGGGTCGCGGAGCGGATCTCCGTCGGTGCGGAGGTGTTCGCTCGGCCGTGCTTCCTCTTCTCGGACGATCTTTACTGGGATTGGTGGGCGTCGAGCCCAGGCCAGCGCGTTGGGATCACGACGCGCCTCCTGATCCACGTGTGCCGCCACTCGGAGTGCGACGTCATGGCGCCGCGCGGTTGCTCGGAGCTCATCCACATCACGGACGCGCGGCCTCTTCGGGCCGAGGGTGCCCGTGCGGGGCCCCCCCGTTCCGGCCGCCAAGAGGCGTGCGGCCGCCGAGGCCTCGCCGCTGGACGACTTGTGCGGCCCAGGGCCAGCAGCGGGGCCTGCCGCGGCGCGCCACACTGCCTTGCGCGGCAAGCTGCAGCAGGCGTAGGACCGGTTCTCGCGGCTGCAGCAGCAGCGCCGCGACGGTGCGGAGGACGAGCTGATCGACTTCGAGAAGGACGAGGACGCCGACGCGAGGTCGCAGGGCCAGGTGGGCCCTCACAGCCCTCCTGCGGGGAAGCGCACGCTCGCCGACGTGCTGGAGGATCGGGTCCGCAAGGCATCAAAGACTGGGTCAGGTGGACTCGTTGGCGATGCGAGGAGCGCTGTGCCAGGTGGGCCCGCTCCCAGCGGTGGAGGCGCGGCATGCAAGAGCTGCTCACGGCGCTCGTCAAGGAGTTCCAGAGCGCGGCCAGGAGCTCGGACGAGGCATCCGACGGCGTCGCGGCTGCCGATGGCGATCTTCTCCCGAAGAGCCTCGCTTCACGTCGCGCCCGCTGCAGGAAGCTTGCGCTCGAGCGTCCTGGACGCTTTGCCAGGATGAGCCTGGCGCAGATGGCGGAGTACCTCGGTTCGCAGGACGGCGTTGCGTCAGTCGACCCCGCTTGGGCCCAACGTCCTGCGCTTCCTCCTTTCGGTCTACCTGCCGCAGCACCCAGTGAAGGAGATCGGCGGGGAGATCTACCGCGAAAAGTGGACGATCGCGGAGGCGCTCGACCTGGTGCTGCAGGGCCGCGCAGCAGCCGTCACCGACATTCTCGCCCAAAGGTTCAAGGCGATCCAGGCAGCGGTCAACGACGGGGACTGGTCGGCGGCCAAGTGGCTGGAGCTGACACCGCCGAGGGACCAGCCGCTCGCCCTTCGCAGCGAGGAGGAAGAGATGATCAGGGGCACCCAGCACGGGGAGCTCGAGCTGGAGGAGCTGGCCTCGCGACTCCGCAGAACGCTTCAGGGCTAGGGGGTCGGCTGGGGCGACGCGGGGGCAGAGCTGCCCCCTCGCCCTGCAGGCCAGGCAGGGAGGGGGCCCGCTGCAACTGCGCAGCCGCCCGCTCGTCGGCCTGCCGCCCCAGCGGGCGTCGCGGATGCCGGCGGGGCGGCAGCGGAGAGGGGGCCCGCCCCCGGCCGAGTTGCCGCGGCAGTTCGCCCCTGGCAGGAGACCAAGGCGAAGCGCCCGAAGAAAAGGGGGAGACGGCCAGGGCGCATGCGAGTCCCGCATCAAGTCTCTCCTGTCGCCTCGCCGACGGCGCTCGCGCCCTTGGGCGCCGCCGGGCCCCCCGAGGCCGGTCTGCCGCGGAGCCTGCCGCGTGGCGAAATGCTCCGTGGCCGCCAGAGGAGCCTCCGAGGCCGCCGCCGGCGCCGCGGGGGCCGCCGCGGGCACCGTCGGGGCCCCCTGAGGCCATCCATTCTGCCACGGAGCCCCGCTGCGTGGCGAAATGCTCCGCGGCCGCCAGAAGGGCTTCCGAGGCCGCCGCCGAGGCCGCGGGGGCCGCCGCGAGCGCCGCCGGGGCCCCCGGGGCCGCGCCCGGGGCCCGCCCGGCAGGCGCCCCGCGCCCCCCGAGGCCATTCTGCCACGGGGCCCCGCTGCGCGGCAAAATGCCCCTTGGCCGCCAGAGGTGCCTCTGAGGCCGGGGGCGGCGCCCCGAACCCTGGGGGTGGCCGGCCAAGATCGCCAGCTCACCGCGATAGCGATGACGAGGAGGAGGAATGGATCGGGTCGACCAACAACAGGTATGGCAGCACAATCATGGAGTTCGCCAGGAACGACGACATCGACATCCACGGGCAAACGATGGCCTATCGGAGACTTGTGCCGACGAGGAGGCACCAGCGATCGAGCTGGGAATCCCATGGCACGGTCGGGTCTGCCAAGTCCTATTTTGCAAGTGCACGGTTTCGCACCCCGCCAGGGGAGACGGACCCGGCCGCGCCGCCGGCGAACCAGCGACCTGATCCTCGGGGCGGGGCGCCATTCCACCAGCCGCCCCCAACGGACGACATAACGCCGTTGATCAAGGAACCCTCAGTCGTCCTCACGGAAAAAGTGACTCGAATGGAGCAGGTTTATTATTATTATTATGTGTGTCTTCGGCTGGGCTGCTACTGTTCCACGTTCAAGGAGGTGACGCACGGTGCAGAGATCAAAGCCAGAGTGCTTGCGATGCTCAGAATGCGGCATTACGCGTTGACCTAGGCACTCCTCATCAGCGAGCATACTCGCACTGTGCAAATGCGTATAAGCATGGGGCTCCTCTGGAGATTCCTGCCCACGAGACGAGGTTGTTCGAGTGGTGGTGCCAGACCGAGATCAGTGGGGGTGCGCGTGAGTGATCCGACGAAACCGACGCTTCGTCGCTTATGTTTGTTGACCCCCCGTGCCCACTGGCGAGGCGACGGGGGGCGCGCCCCCCTCGGATGACGTGGAAGTGGACTCAGGGCGCCCTGCCAACGAGCCAGGGCAGTCGTCCGCAGCAAACGGAAGGGGCGGGGCCTGGCTACGCCGCCGCCTCCCCACCCGATCATTCGCCTCCTGCCGCTGCTCCTATTGCCGATGTCCAAAGCCGCGACCTACAGTAGTTGAAGGTGCCAGACCCACGCGGGGGCAGCAAGCGCGCGGGAAGCAACCAGATGCCGTCGACCTGGACACGCCCGATGAAGATGATCTTCCTCCGCCCGCGCCACCGGGAGGGGCTCGCGCGCAAGCTGCAATGCAGAGCATTCACGAGGAGGAAAAATAAACGGACGAGGGCGAGTTCGGCGAGTCGGAAGAGAAGGTCGAGTCGAGCGAAACAGAGGAGATGGAGGATGATGATGCGCCGGTGGAGGTGAAACCCCGCGGACGCCTCCCTGCTCTGATTCCTTTGGATATGCTGTCCGAGACACCCCCATCAAGCTTTTTCGTCAAATACTTTCGCTTCAGCAAGGCGCCGACGCCTCCCAAGAGCGCGCAGGCTTCGGTCGAAGAATACCTGCAGAGGGTGAAACGGGACGGAGATGCGGCGCGCAGGGGGCTCGAGCATTCCGAGAAGGACGAGTTTGGCGCTCCGCTCATCGATGATTGGGATGATATAGCACGATGTGCCGCCCCCATTGAGCTGGCGCGGACACTGGAGGAGCTCCACGACACCGGTCCGGAGTTCTTCGAGGAGCGCGAAAGAAGGGAAAAAAGGGGTGCGAGGAGAAAACCTTGGAGTGGGCGCGTGGATTGGTCGCGGACTCATTTCTCGAGTATATCCGGCAGTTGCCTGCGGATGGCGCCGCGAAAGCTCGACGATTTCTACGTGCTCGTTTCAGAGCGATTGAATGCCGCTGTCTTCCATCCACAGAATTCCGTCTCATCCCGAAGGGTCTGAGTTGCGAGAGACGTTCGCTCATGCACTTCTCGGGGATGGACGTTGGAGGAGGCCGGGCGACCGGGCTCGCTCATCGCCAGCCTGGCCATGCGCAGTGCGGCCCGCGTTCGGAGCTCAGGGAGGCGGGTCGAGGCGCGCGCCGTCGTCGAGGTGCTGAACGACGAGGGGCGCGACAAGGCATGGGCGCGCTTCATGCATTCTATTGCCCAGTTGCCTCGCTGCACGGCCCAGGTGCCCGGCGCGGAGATGGCGGGCGAAGATGCTGGACCGACCAGCGAGCCTGATAATTGGGAGGACAGCTTTGGGCAATCGCCAACGGAGGATGATGACGTCGACGAGGAAGATAAAATCTTGCCGCCACCAGCGAGAGCGCCGTTAATGTTTCGTGCCTGCAAAGGTCATTCAGTCCGGGCGGTAGATCCGAAACGGATGTGCGTCCGGTGCGAGGTTGCAGCACATGTTCCCCATGAGGCGATGATTGTTCCGTTGGATGAGTCTGCCATGAGGCGATATATGACCAGCTCTCTTGGCGAGCCAAAGAATGATCTTCAGGGTGTCCGCCAATGCATGTTGACCTGTCTCCTGACTCATGCCGCCCGATATCCAGCGACAAGTGGCCCCGTGGTGAAAAGGCGGAGATTGGCTCTTTCGCGGCGCAGACAGTAGTCGAGAACCTGAAGGAAGGCGCGATCGGCGAAGTGGACGGTGAGCCGCCGCGGTGGCTCAGACCGGGGGGAAGTGCGAGGTCGGGGACTGGCCAGGACCTGGATGCCGCTGTGTTCGGACTTAATGATCCGCATAGATGATCCGACATGTTTCAGTTACGTTCCAGCCGCGTCTCTTCGAACATCACGACGGCTTGATATTGCATGATGGCACCCTGGCGACTACCTTTCGCCCCAAGTGGGTCGACATCCACCAGATCATGCGGCTCGCAGTCTCGGGCGCTCAGCATGCCAAGGTGTCGTGGCCGCCGGTCTATGATCGACGCTTCGCGGCGCTGCTGGTCCAGCCGCAGCCTGGCACAGGCTGCTTCGACTTCGTCAAGCAGAACTGTAGGATTCGTCGCCTGCCCGATGTGGGCGAGAACGACGAGGTCGTCACCGCAAACAAGAAGGACGCTCCATGCGTCCTAACTTGTGGGAATGATGGGTATTTTCTTTGCTGCAATGTCTGCCGACATCGGATCGGAACGCTGATGCGCGTAACATGTCGCAAGACGACGCACTGCAGCAGTGCAATTGTCGATGCCGAGCAGGTCAAGCCGCAACTCGATTACAAGGACTTGGGCTCGGCAAAGGCGCGCATGGACGGTGCCGGCGACCTTGGGCCCAAAAGGTGGAAAGGCACAGACACCTGATCGTATTCGGCGAAGTGCATTCCTCTGGTGGTTCGACGTCTCCGAGCTCACGATGTGCAAACGCTGGGGGAACGCTTTTCAAGGCAAGGCCGCATACCATGGCAACGTCACGGCGGTCTTCGCGCGGTTGCCCACGTGCCCACAATATGCACTGCCTCCACCGCAGAACCCCTACAGGCTCGAGAAGAGGAGAAAGGTTGCCCCGAAATGGATCAGGTTCCAGAGCGCACACCTCAGGACGCCAGCGACAGGGCCAAATTCGGTGGTTCCCCCGAGCGTCTGGTGGCCATATCTCAGCAGATGGGCGATGGAAGAAGAGGCATATTCTTCCAGGGGTGACTTTATATTGAAACCCTTCGACTGGGACTACACGAGCCCAGGGGACCGTCGTCGAGAAACGCCCAGCTGCGGTTGGTCCGCACGTTGCATGCCGGCTCCAGGAGTGATCACCAGCCAGCCACTCAACCGCCTTAAGGCTGCTATGGAGGCGGAAGTTGTAGAGCGCTGGCCCGTGGCCGAGATCACGCATCTCCCTCCAACCAAGGCAAGGCCTACGCCCGCGCGTGCGCCAGCTGAGTATGTCGGACGCGTGCCCAGGCGTGAATTTTCTGCCAAAGGAGCGAAACAGCTTCGCTCCACGCAGCCTGCGGGGCGTCCGAAGGCAGCCGGAACGGCCAATGGCGGCGCGGGCAAGGGGAAGGATGATGCGAGCACTTGCAAAGGGACGAAGAGGACCAGCAGCCGCGCGCCTGATGACCAACAAGAGTCCCAGACGCGCCGCTTCACCAACCCGACGCAACGGGATCCCCCGCGAAGCTCGGGGGCCGCCTCGTCTAGATACACCGCAACCCTTCGTCCTCCAGCCTCCCCGGAATTCGGAATGCTCCGCGGCGTCAGACCGGGCGCGGCCGTGGTGCCGCGGAGCGACAGAATGCGAATTCGCCCACCCCGTGGCAGGGCAGTGCCAGCGATTGGTGGTCATCGTGGACGTGGAGCTCGGATAGCTGGAACAATGGCAACTGGGGCTCGACTGACCGCCGGTGAGGGTGGCGAGAAGAGAGCGAGGCGGAGGCCAGCGACGATGTCGCCAGGCATCCCCATCGAGTTCAATCGCTTTGCGGCTCGACTGCGCCCGTTTCGGGCGGTTGAGCCGCCGCGAGGCAAGGGTGCGATGCACCTGCGTCGCGCGCGCGGCGGGCCCGTCTGAGGCCAGACTGCCGGGCGCCGTAGCCGCCGACGCTTCTACTA